TTGGAATTGATAGTTTATATCAAATATACTTTATTGATAATAAATGTATGTTCGAAGTATACAGAAACGCCAAAATAATGGTATTTAACAGAAAACAAAAAAAATAATGCACTTTGGAGAAAAGGGAGAGGGCTTGAAAAAAATTGTCCCGTCTCCAGGAGTCCCTATGAATTTTGATACCTTTTCTGAAATTATCCAGATTTATAAAAAGAGATGGACCATTTTGTACATATACCAAGGGGAAACTTCGTGCAAAGCATTATTATTTATAGTTTAATTGAATTTAGTAGAAAAAGAAAATTTGGTGAAAATAAAACCAAGATTTTTTTAGAAAATCCACAGATTTTAAGACCGAGATTTTTATACGATTCCAATTTTTTTTTGGGGGGGATCGTATAATGGTATGATGTGGTTGTTGTCGTCTATGTCGTCCGAAGACACATTTGTAGTTTCTGGACTATAACTTGTGTGTAAGTGTATGGATCTCTCTGACATTGTACCACAAAGTTCCATATCACAAAAGGAAGGCTGGGATTGAGTTTGGGGGTAATTGCCCCAATCATGAAGGAATTCGGGGCCATAAAAGGGCCAAAAAACATTTTTTTAGTTATTCTAGTTTTTCAGACAATAACTTGTGTTTAAGTCACTGTATGGATCTTTCTGAAATTGTACTACAAGTTTCCATACTACAAAGGAAAACTGGGATCAAGTGTTGAGGTTATTGCTCCAAAGGGCGGGGGGGGGGGGGGGGGTTGTGAGTTCAAAAAGTTTGCAGGTTTCCAAATTTTTAAAAGGGGTTTAATTTTTTTTTCAAAATTTTTCAAATTTTAAAATATTTCAAAAGTTTCAAGAAGATATCTTTAATTGCACAGTATTGCCCAATAGATTTGAAAGACCTTTACACATGTTTTGTGTCAGAAACCTATATTATGTCAAAAATTTGATCACAATCAGGGGTTAAAAAATCCACTAGCCCGACGCCCGGGACTAGACTTTTACACTTCGGGCAATTAAAACTTGTAACCGAATATGCCCGACGGACTAGTAACAAACAATTCTTGGCATTTCCAAAATAGTAAGAGGAAAATCCCCTCATCGCTATTCTATCTTAGCCAATCAGATTCAATTACGTACGTCATCCGGGATTCCAAGAATTTGAACCGATTTTGTACATGTTTTAAAAATAGAACAACTAACTCTGGGTGGACCGGTATCATGTATATTGATCGCAATTCACGTACTTTCAATATCAATTTCTCAGTACAGGGGGTATTGTACATTGCTTATGCCGAGATTTTCAATTAATGGTACTTGGGTGTATGATGTAATGATCGATATTGACCTGTCTTGTCGGACAGCTGTTAATTTGAGCTTGAAACCATGCACAAATTATTTCTAAACATTTTAGTACGGCCACCACAGGAACTTTGTCAGTTTTAAAACGAAAAACGGTAGATGAAGGGGGTAATGAGGCTGAAAATTTATCCCAAAAAATGCCAAATACGACCAGGAAAAGCGGAAAAAAACATTTATAGTGTCATTGACAGAAAGATTCCCCATGGGCAAGGTCGACTGTTACTGATGATAAACAAGAGATGATGTTTTGTGAATATTGCCGTTATTTTCCCGATCTCGCTGATAAAAAGTCTGCTTTGTATGTGGGAACAACAAATATACGAATTGAACCGCTGGTTTAACATGACAATATCAATGAACATATTTTCTGTGCCCGAAAATATTTAACAACCCATAGTACAAGGGATATCCAAAAAGATGTCTAGAGATCCCTGTTATAATTAATAAAACAAAAATTCATTTGATTTATTTAATCAAATACCGTGTATAATGCCGGATTCAAAACAAGGGACATCCACTCTAAATTTGAAAGGTATACTCGGGCTAGCAGGTCAGTTTTGATGGGCTAGCAGCTCTTTCAACAGGGCTAGTAAAATCCTGCTACCAATAAGTCCTGGGCTAGTGAGCTGTAACACATTTTTTTAACCCCTGACAATCCTAATTCAGACAGTAATAAGCTTGAATATTGTGTCAAAATTTGCCCCAACTGTTCATGGTTCAACTTCTGCGGTCATATCAGGCTGCGCTCAGCGCCGAAGCATTTTATTTTTGTTATAATATTTTAAACATATATAACTCAATTAAAAAAATCATTGCTAGCACTGAATGCAATAATCCTTCATCAATAAAGCATCGAATCGCCAAATATGACAGTACAAGGGAAAAGTTGTGGATTTTCTAAAAAAAAATCCATATGTTTAGCATTTAATCAACACAAGGGTACATAATCCTTAAAAGCCTTTGAGAACGTAACTTTATAGCAAGGAACTATAACGTATGCAGATTTTCTTTGAACACATACGAAGGTCTTGAATATTGGGGGGGGGGGGGGGGGGGGGGGGGGGGGGGGGGGGGGGGGGGGGGGGGGAGGTCTTTCAATCCTAATTGTCTTTTAATTTGTTAGTCATCTGTTTTTCTCTATTCTTCATATTTTTTTCTCATTATTCTATATTCTTTATTTTCTTGGCAGCTATTTTTTTTTACTTTTCTGGTCCTATGTTGTGCACTTTTTGTCCATTTGTGTTCTCTATTCTTCTATAAATCCTATCCAGACCCTCACAAACATACATAATCAATAAGTTCCGCTCCTATTACCTAACCCCACTTGACATGGATATAGATAATTGTCATCCATGGGGTTTTCTCATCCGTTTTGAATATAACATTGCTATTAAAACGGGTACGTTATAAAAAAAGAAGACGTGGTATGATTGCCAATAAGACAACTCTCCACAAGAGAAATGACACAGAAATTAACAACTATAGGTCACTGTACAGCCTTCAACAATGAGCACAGCCAATATTGTATAGCCAACTTTAAAAGGACAACATACTAGGAGTCCATTACATCAGATATAACATATAGAGATGTATAAATACGCAGTCACGTATACGTCCGATGCTAAATTGTTGACTTTGTTGGAAGGCAAAATGATTAGCCCTATACTGACTGGAACTAGTATATATATAACTGAAACTAGATGAAAATCAAGGAATCTACACATGCTGTAATAGCAAATCTGAACGGAACCAAAACGCATGTTTGTAAAAAAATAAATAATATACAACTTACATTTCAGCAACTGTTATATTAGTAATTATTAATGATGTAGTTCGTGAATAAATTGTCCTACACAGTGGAACAAATGGACAGTCTAAGTACGTTTATGTCTGGATTAATATTTCTGCAAAGACGTTGTCATTTGATTGTTTCCATTAACCGACTTAAATAAAAATCAAATTATAACTTTGTAATTATTATAAATGTTTACCTTTTGAAATAAATTTTGGTTTATTGAATATATTTACGGGAAAAACGAACTCAAATGTTTTATTTCCATGTATTTTATGACATATTAAAAAACATCTTTGTGTAAAAGAAAAATCGAATCACATCAAATTTTGATCGGCCGTAAAATAAACTTCACATCACTTTATTTATATCACAAATCAATTTACAAAAACTTCTCAACGATGTCATAATAGAAAGCACGAGTGATCTATCTGGCGGACCAACTTGTGGCTAATGATTGACAGGTATGATTAGATCTTGAGGCTCCTATGGGGAACGTGGTGTCGAAAGGAAAATAGAAGATTATTCAATTATAATTTTTAGGACTCGTACGAAATGTGATCTAATATGGAAAATTTTGAGTTCTTTTAATAGCACAAAGAAATAAGACGTTAGAAGGGTTACAAATGTGTAACTATAAACCAAGGACTCGTATGTAATTTACGGGAAAGATTTTATCAAAAGTTTGTTGAAAACTTTCAATTTCAAACCTTCTTGGTTAGAATGAATATGTTCGATTTATATGCAAATAGGTCTTTATTATATAATATATTTAAATTATCTTCATTAATTACAATACAATATATAACATGTATCTATGATATCCTCCGTAACGACTAAATATATGTACAGGTAAAATTAAATTCTGATCAATCGGGTACAGATTGATTTACGACCTTCCACTGGTATTGCACAAGCAATATCACAGCAGGTGTTAAATACACTAGGACAAGGGTCAGATCAGTTTGACATCCTGCCCGATTACGGTATCTTCCGGAGACTCTATAAGTACAAGGACTGATTTTTTTTTCTAAACATGACAATTGTGAAGAATTTTTTAAAGTGAGAACAAAGTTTCTGACCCAAACTATCGATTCACATTATGAATCTATCATGAATAGTAGATTAGTTTACGTTTTTTAACGTAAATACGATTTCCATTCATATATTAAAAAAATTGTAGTTGTCTTTTGCAAAGATAACACATGTATTCATCTTGTTCATTGGTCACATTAAAATAGATTTTTCTTTAATGAACAATGACAACATTTGATATTTATATCGTAAGTAACTTTATCATCAAAAACACCGTTTTATCTCGACCGAAAAGGGAAATAAGATAGTTTTTTTAATCTGACTGTAAACATTGTATATATCACAACGATCTATTAATAACCGTCGCTCACGCATAACGGATTATATAATCATCTATGTACAACGATCTATTAATAACCGTCGCTCACGCATCACTGGTTCTATCACTGACTCAATACACACCCGTTTTATCGGACAAACGGCTAATTCCCGCCGACACGGAAAATCTCCGGATAACATGCATAATATTCTGTAATACAGCAAATTTACGATGAACCTCTAATTATTATCCGTTTCGCGGAGATTAGCCAAAAATCGCGGGCATTTTCCAAATAGGTCTACCAGTGACTGTATTTGGGAGCTTTCATGGGGGAAATCCCCCGCAAATAGTGTAAGTTGGCAGGTATGAGTTTGCAAGCAACACCATGAGCAAGGTATAATTTAAATTGTTGATCAACATGGAATATTATAAAAGCTCTAATCAAAAATCATAATGCCGCATATTCCGAAATTGTATTTAAACTTAGTCACACCGGAAGTACCAACCGGATTTTTTAGCAAGCAAAAGTTACAAACTCACCAAATATATTGTATTTTATACAGTAGGGAAAACAAAGATAATTTACAGTTTCTTTCTACAAATCTCGAAGAGACAGTGTTGTCAGCTGAGGCACAACAAACTGAATTGTATACAATCAGACAGTACAGTATCTAATTGAATCATGGTGACGAAGGTAAATAATTATTCTCTTGTTCTGTACGTATTTTCTTCCGTTTAGGAACATTAATATGATTAAGGAATTTCTTGTAGAACATTGATTTGTTTACACGTGAACACTTAACACAGGTTAACTGTAAGTCCTCATATAAATATGAAAACAGGACCTACGTGTCATACACAATTTAGACATGTATCATGTGTATACACTTCAAATTTGATAAATAAAAAACGCACAGTGGTATCAGGTTGTTCCAGCTCCTTAACCTAAACCAATCCGGCCCCATAATTTAAAAAGGAATACCTACATGTACTATAAAAATCTGAGAGTTTCATGAACTATTTGATCATTGTTGATTTAGGGCAAGTAGAAATTTTGCAAATGAAAAAGCTGTGTAAATTTTGCTGATGATCAGAAAAATATCTTGAAACATTATTGATGAATTCTGTTTATAGGGACATGCGGCACTGGGCTTCGTCAGTGTCGCAAATTCCAAATTTTTTATATCATCTGGTGACAAAATAAGGGTGCTGGCGATATATCTGGCACCAACAGTTTTCCATGTCAAATTTTATTTTTTCTGACTGCAACGTTAATTAAAACGATGTTAGGGCATTTTCTGGTATATTTGTGGTATGTTAGCATGTGTCGATCTTTTATATAGGTAAACGGATTATCAAAGAGTGATCATCGACATGGTGATCATGGTGATAGTGTGAAATGAAGATGAATAGAAGGTTACATTTAAAGTAATGAGCGCTCGCTGATTTATAAAGGTTAATTCAAAATGTGTTCCCTTGTTCTATTTTAAGACCTAAGGTCATGACTAAGTAACTAACTGAAATCCACTCTTAGACTGGTTACTCCTCAAAACTTGATCATGTTTATGAACAGGGAAGTGAAAAAAGCGCCTCGGTCAAGGTTAAAATAGTTATCCTCATTTGGCTTTAGTTCCACATTTTCAGATAACAGTGTCAGTGAGCCTGTAAGTTTTTTTCTTTCACAGAAAGGAAGAAAAAATATCAAATAACTGGGCCATACATTTTGTACATCAATATGGGTAGAGAAATCAAGACTCTAACTGGCTGTAAGTTTTCCCAATTGGTGACAATATATATAGCAGCTGGCGATTTTTCTGGCTCCAACTTTTTTGGAGCCAGTAGCCCCTGGGTTAGTGACTCTTTATGGCATGTATGGAAAATACTCTGCAAATCATCATGATAAACAAGATTCCTTAATTTGAGTATTTTTTATTGATTTTTCAAAAAGGACAGTGTTTGTGCATCAGCTTTGGGATTAGATTGTGTGTAACCAATTGTTATCACACCAGTTGAAGTTAAATCACAAAAATACTGAACTCTGAGGAAAATTCAAAACAGAAAGTCCCTCATCAAATGCCAAAATCAAAAGCACAAACACATCAAACGAATGAAAAGACTGCCAAGATGAAAGTCATATGAAAAATTGCTGATTAATGTTGATTGTACTAACTTCTTTAATACATGCGTGGGATGTATATGTTTTTATTAAAATTAGATGTATACCTCAGATTACTATCATGACTATAATGATTTAGTAGTCTCAATAGTCTGGATAATTTCTTACAATGTCACATTATGTGTAAATTTATAATCAACATACACTCTATTATATACTATATATATATACAGGTATACTTCATATTTATCATCCCTACTCCTGCATTAAACATGTTAGAGGTGATAAAATGATTTTAATTTAAATATTTGACATTAAAAAAATAATTTTATTTTGATATTTCAAAGCTCAAATTCATCTACTGATATACTGCACATGTGCAGATGTTTGATACAGTATTGTACTATTCAGCGGCTCTTTTCACAAACAATCTTAAGAGTAAAAATACTCGTAAAGTCTTGCACATTTCAGTATAACTTACGATCGATTTTAATCGTAAGATTTTATGTGAAAAGAGTCGCTGAAGTCTCATCCTTGACAAGCAACATCACAACAAGGAGATGAGTTTATGCCTGACAGTCAATAACAGTTGTGGCAGTGCTAATTCATTTTTTTTTTCATTTTAGCCTTTATCATTGATTCAATAAGGTACCCGTAACCACAGGAATAATTATGTTTTTCTGATTTTGCTATTCAAAGCAGAAAGGCAGTTCTCCATATTAAATTCAAGCTAATCCTGACATCTGCTGAGGGTATTCCAGGCTTTACAAAATTTTTTGAAAGAATACATCCACATGTCATGCATGTACCAATATATATACAATGGCAATTTTGTAGTTTGGTATTTGATACTGTCCTACATCTCCTAGGCCTGGATTCTTTCTTATTCTGATATTTATCTTCTTGTGTCTAATGTGTCAGGAACCTGAAGATGTAAAGTGAAGTGTTTGGTAGATGAAACATTTTAACATGTTCAAATAAAGGTGTTAATTTTTAAACAGCATCCACTAAATGGAAATGTTTAACACATGATTATGATGACAGTCTTCCTGTCCTTTTAAAATGCATCAGTTGTCCAGACTTCTCTTTTATATTTATGACTATGTACATGTATATCATGTATATACGTATTACAAATTATATAGTCTATCTGACTGTCAAGTTAGTGTACCACATGTATAGTGTACTTGTAGAATTTGTGGTTGTGTTATCAGCTTGGACATGTTTAAATGGTGTTTAAGGTACAAGTTATTTTTGCACAATTGTCAATAACAGAATATAAAAATAAGAAGATGTTGTATGATTGCCAATGAGACAACTCTCCATAAGAGACCAAATGACACAGAAATTAACAACTATAGGTCACCGTACGGCCTTCAACAATGAGTAAAACCCATACCACATAGTCAGCTATAAAAGGCTCTGAAATGACAAATGTAAAACAATTTGTTTGTGCAAGGCAAAAGCCACATTGATTTATAAATGCGAAAATCCCTACCCATTCATAAATTTCATATGAAAATCACAACCCATTTATATATATTTCCCAGCTATCATGGCATCTGATTTCAATGAGATGGTAACCACATGGGATCTGACATTCTGTCATTCATATTATGAGATAAAAAGATCAGAACACAGTTTTTACAGACAACTTAATGTTCAGGAGATGAACATACATGACCCATGCATTGATATATTACCACATAATTACTTCTGTGAAATTGCACCCCATTGATATATTTGAAATTCCAAAAAAGTTACCCACACCAGGGTCTTTGTATACCTTTATATAGGAAGACAATCCATGGCAAAATTAAAAAAACAATTTTAGCCCTTGTGTTGCCCTAGATAACTCAGGCACAATAAATTATAATTATAATTTTTAAAATTTTAGGTAGATTTTGATTTGCATATTTTCACCACAGTTTAATTCAAAGACAATTAGATGATAGTTTTGTTTTACTTTTGTAGATATGTAGTTAACTAAGTGTTGAAAGTAAACAGTATAGACTTGAAGATGGCAGATCCTCAATATGATAAAACTATGATAAAGAAAGGATATGTCAGGGTAAAGGGACGAATACCTATAGGCAAGGTATGTTAGATTAAAGGGTTGCTTTGTCCGAAGCCAAATTTCATACATTTTTTAGGAAGAAGGTAGCATTACCTAAATGCCAAATACAGAGGTAGATTTAGGGGGAGGGGCGGTGCCAGCCCCCCTTATAGAGCTTCATTTATGGTTAATCCAGACTTTGCCGGGTTCCATTGCAAATTTTGTCTTGTTTGTGGTTCAAAATCCTGGATCCGCATCTGAAATGTGTAAGGGTAATTGGTTTTTTTTTTTCTAGAAGCATGTTATATGAGGGTAAAAGGCAGATTTTTATTGTCTCGCCTTGACAGAGTCAAAAAGCGAGACATAGGTATGCTGTTTCCGGTGTCGGCGATGGCGATGGTGACAGCGTCAACAATGTATTAGTTTGTGATTAGGTCTAGTTAATGGTGAACCACAAGTGATAGGTCAATGATAGTTGGTATGCAGTTGTATTAGCATTGGCACATCTCATTACCATGGAGATTATTTGGCCCCGCCCCCTTAGTCAAGGTCTATTGACTTTGAAACTTTTCATAGTTTACATGTATTAGTTTGTGATTAGGTCAATTTATGGGGAACCACTAGTGGTAAGTCAATGATATTTGGTATGCAGTTGTATAAGCATTGGCATATCTCATTTCCATGGAGATTATTTGGCTCCGTCCCCTTAGTCATGGTCTGTAGACTTTGAAAATTTTGCTAAGTTAACATGTATTAGTTTTTGATTAGGTCAGTTCAAGGGGAACCATTAGTGGTAGGCCAATGTTAATTGGTGCTCAGTTGTATAAGCATTAGCACACCTCATTTCCATGGAGAATATTTGGCCCAGTCCCCTCAGTCATGGTCTATTGACTTTGAAACTTTTGCTTAGTTTACATGTATTAGTTTGTGATTAGATCAGTTTAAGATGAACTGCTAATGTTAAGTCAATGATATTTGGTATGCAAATTTATTGGTATTTGCAAGTATCATTTCCATGGAGATTATATAGCCCCACCCCTGATCATGGTTCATTGACTTTGAAACTTTCACATAGTTTACAAGTTAATGTTTGTGCTTAGGTTTGTTTAAAGGGAACAACTTATGATAAGTCAATGGTATTTGGTATGCAGTTGAATTAGCATTGGCACATCTCATTCCATGGAGATTGTTTAGCCATGTACCTTCAGTCATGGTTCATCGACTTTGAATATTTGCATAACTTACATGTACATGTTAAAGTATTGCTATTTTAATTTCAACATTTGCATTATCAAATTACAAAAAGGTGAGACATATCTCTGTGATAACAGTTTATGAAACTTATAGTGTAGATTTATATCAGCAATGTTTTGAACGAGTTCGAAAATCAGTGCTGATTAACTATTTTTAAAATAGTTATGCCCCTTGGAAACATTAGTTATATGGAAAATTGCACTGTTAGCGGTCTCATGCGTGCAATTCTTGCCAGATGTTTATGAAACTTATATTGTAGGTTTATATCAGCAATGTCTCTGACAAGTTCGAAAGTCAGTGGCGATCAACTATTTATAAAAGAGTTATGCCCCTTGGAAACTTTGGAAACCTTGGAAAATTGCATTGTTAGCTCTCTGATGTCATGGATGTGTATAATTCCAGCCAGATTTTTATGAAACTTGCATTGTAGGTTTATACCAGCAATGTCTCAGAGTTCGAAAATCAGTGCAGATCAACTATTTTCAAAAGAGTTATGCCCCTTGGAAATATAAATGACATGGAAATTTGCATTTTAAGTGCTCTCACATACATGTTCAATTTTTGCCAGATTTTTATCAAATTCATATCAAAGGTATATAACAGCAATGTCTTGGACAAGTTTGAAAATAAGTGCCGATCAAATATTTTTAATGAGTTTCCCTTGGAAATATTAGATATATTGGAAATTGCTCTCAAAGTTTCAACTCTTTAGTAAGATGATTTAAAAAACTTTTAAAGAAACAAAATTTTTTTCAGTAATTGCCCTTGGACAGAACAGATAAAATATGTGCGATGCGAGGGACATTGGAACTCTCTTCTTTTATTTAGCTTAAGTTATAAAGGTTTGTTAGGGTGAAGAATTGTATTTTAGCTCACCTGATCACCCAAAGTTTAGTGTGAACTATTGCCATCACTTTGCATAGATCTGTTGTTTGTCATATTCTAACTTTTACAAAAAATACAGAAATCTATAAATTAAGCTTAAAGGGCATTATCTGTCAAATTCATGTTCATCGATTTGACTCAAATTCTCATATTTGATTTATAACATACTAACACGTGTATCCAAATTACAATAAGTCTGAAATAAACAATTAACAATGCATAGACTCGATAATATATCTCGGCATTTTGTGTGTATTTTAGTCAAGACACCATCTAATTAACCATCGATGCCTACGGTCACATAACCCGATATAAACATACACATAAATATAAATAGATAGCGACCTCGTGCAATTGGACTTTTCTAGGTGTATTTGATTTCATGTTATAGGTTAAAAAAATAAGTTAATCATTGTTTTTACCTGTATCAGAATGATTTTTTGTGGATCGAATCAGTCAACGAAATGGTTCACCTTTGTACCATTTCAATGTTGACATTCTTTTCCTTTTAATGGTTAAACACAACTTATACATGCGTAACCAATCTCTAGCTAATAGGTTGAATAAAAGGTCACATGAATACGGATTCAATGAGGTAGAATTATTCACTTGCAAGTGAATAATTCATCAGCGATGTTTCTTAGCTTATTTTGACAAAATTGAACTAAACTGGCTGCTAAAAGCTGATTATTATTTCACTATTTCACTTTCATTAATGATTGAACAAAAAAATAAATTATATTTTATTTTTTTTTATATCTCACGTAGCTAATGCCCCTTTAAGAAAACAAGTAAGGGAATTTGATATTGACATTGCTTTGTTGCTTTGTTTAGTTTTCATCTCAAAAATTGTTTATTCACATTGTTTCAGTATATTATCATTTTCATGCTGTTCTTGATAATGTCTATAAAATGTTGTATACTTTAAATACAGCACTGTAATACACAATAAGTCATCAATATATTATACCTGTATTTTTTAATTTATTGCTAATTTTTTTTTAGTCCTGGAAGAAAAAATTGTTAGTGTTATATGGTCCATCCAGTAATGGAGCCTCACGACTGGTCAAATATTCAGGAGAGCAGGCATTTGCAGAGGACGAGCCTTCATCACAGATTCCACTCAAAGATGTTGGTAGTGCTTTGAGATGTAAAATGTCCGAAGGATCTCATGGAGATGGCATTACTTTACATATGTCTGATCGCAGCATTAAACAGTTCCTTTGTGATACAGGTTACTATATATTCCACATCAGTTTTTATATGAATAAAACTTTTTATAACTCACCATCGGATAGATTACCTCAAAGTAACTTATATAAACATGATAAAGGTTATACTGCAGATATGAATAAATTCATTTGTGATAGAATAGGTAGGAATAGAGCCATTATTTGTTTTTGATTTTCAACTTATTCAAAGACCAAAAATGTGGCCTTTCTTGTCTTTCTCTTTATTTTAAGTACTTGACAAATCCTAAATCAGTAAATGAGATAGAACATTTTTTATTAATAAATTAAATTTCATATCATTACAGAACTTGACATAATCATTATAATTGCTTTATACCAACACGAACAAGTAGTCATGTAGTAGAGAGTGTGACATTATATTATATTATACTTCACGTAAAAATGCCATATTTTGATTGGCTAATACGAGGGTGTTAATTTACTCTATCACATTACTGAGCGGGTGACAATTTTTTTGAATGTCACCCTCTCGTCCAGACCAATCAAAAATCGATAATTTAAAGGACAATGAATTGAAATTACATCAAGTTATTAAAGACAATGCTTAAGTTCTACATTTTGGCTCAGATTCTATTATTTGACTGTCAAAATAAAAAAATAAAACATCTTGTTTCACTTCTAATCCCCGTAACGTTGTTATGTATGTGACGTCATAGAAATTACTTTTGAATAAAATTCATCCGTAAAAGACAATAATGATAGGACATTCATTATAATAAATTGATTAACACATAGCTGAATGGGTGATAGAGCAGATTAGTTCCCCTCAAAAAAGCATTGTCAACCTTGGCTTCGCCGCGGTTGACAATGTTTTCTCGGGTACCAATCTGCTCTATCACCCTCTCAGCTATGTGTTATTTATATGATATTCCATATATTTATATATGTATTTTTTAAGAAATTGTATTTTGATGTTTTACAAAAAATAAAACAAAGCATAAATGTAGCTAGTTTCTGCATTTAATACCTAGGAATTTCTTTTAAGATGTATTTACTTCTACATATATATAAAAAATTCCATTCAAGGATGTATAGATATATATATATATACAGAGGAGGAAATCAAAAGACATGTTTCTGTGTCAAATTTACTTTTTTCTGAAAATTTTTATCTACCTAGAAAAGTTTTACTTTCAAGTTATTGAACAGAGTACATTAGCAAAACTTTAATGATTACAGAATCAGAATCTACAGATTGGTTGAGCGTCATACAGACAGAATTGACCAGAAATGATAATCTGCCTTCTGGTCAGTATATATATTTATTTCAACATACAAATGTACATCAATCTTCAACAATTGTTTCTTTTCTTCTGAAAATCTGTACGATTACAGAAATGAAAAAAAAACTAACAGTAAACTAGTATAAAAAAAACTACCCAATTTAGCTGTGTATAGTATGCAGTTGTGTATAATACACACCCCTTTTCATCCCTCTGAAATCGTGAAAAAAAAGTTAAAAAACATTTTTATACGACCGCAAAAAATTTTTTGGGATCGTATAATGGTATGATGTCGTCGTCTTAGGAAGACACATTGGTTTCCGGACAATTACTTTAGTTTAAGTAAATGGATCTCTATGAAATTTTTTAAGAAGGTTCAATACCACAAAAGGAAGGTTGGGATTGATTTTGGGGATGACGGTCCCAACCGTTTAGGAATTAGGGGCCCAAAAGGGGCCCAAAACAAGCATTTTTCTAGTTTCAGGATAATAACTTGTGTATAAGTATTTCGATTGCTCTGAAATTGTACCACAATGTTAAATACCACAAGTAGAAGGTTGGGATTCATTTTAGGGGTTTTGGGGCCAACAGTTTAGGAATTAAGGGCCAAAAAGGGGCCAAAAACAAGCATTTTTCTAGTTTCCAGACAATAACTTGTGTGTATGTGTATGGATCTCTCTGACATTGTACCACAAGGTTCCATATAACAAAGGGAAGGCTGTGATTGAGTTTGGGGTTAATTGCCCCAAACATGTAGGAATTGGGGGCCATAAAAGGGCCAAAAACAAGCATTTTTCTAGTTTCCAGACAATAACTTGTGTTTAAGTGTATGGATCTCTCTGAAATTGTACTTCAATTTTTATACTACAAAGGAAAGGCTGGAATTGAGTTTTGGGGTTATTGCTCCAAGGGGGGGTTTCAAAAAGTTGGGGGGGGGGGATTTTTTTTTCCAATTTTTTAAAGGGATTCATATTTCAAAATTTTTCAAATTTCGATTTTTTTGAAAAGTTTCAAGAAGAAATCTTCAATTGCACAATATTGCGCAATAGATTTGTAAGATCTTTGACAACATTTATTTTGTGTCAGAAACCTATGTTATGTCAAAAATTTGATCACAATCCAATTCAGACAGTATCAAGCTTGAATATTATGTCCAAATTTGCCCAAACTCTTCAGGGTTCGACCTCTGCGGTCGTATCAGGCTGCGCTCAGGGAAGCATTTTATTAAATGGAAGAAATACAAAAAAGAAAAAAAATTTAAAGAAAAAACGAAAATTTAAAAAAACTCTAGTTCACTGTAAAAAGCCTTAAATAGGGAACAATTAAACCATGTTTTTATTTAAGTCTGTTGAAAGATAAAAATAATATATACGATTGATTGTTCAATCAAATTGTTTAATTAAATAATATTAAAGTCATAAACAATAAAATGGTAGAGCTTTCATCATGTAATTAACATTTATTAATTCTATAAAAGTAAAGTTATTAATTAGTTATCCCTTTTGAAATCAATGTTTGTCTAATCTTATCCAAGCTCATGCACTGTTAAAATATTATAATAGAAATAACTGGAATGTTATGGAACAAAAGAAATTAGACCTCAAACATTTTCTAAATTGATTAGCAGTAATTAAAATTTATTAACTCTTTAATCCAATATTTTCATTTCATTGGTCATGTTGATTTAGAGCACTGCCTGAGGTTATTAGTCCCCTACTGACGGGGACTTTAGGTTTGCACTCCATCTGTCTGTCAGTCTGGCAAATCAGTTTTCCAGACTTTTTTTCTTCAGGCTTGAAGATATTGATTTGATATTTGTACATTGATTCATCTTGACAAGTTACAGGTCAAGTTCATTTATCACGATTTTAGCTTTTCTCTTTGTTCAGTTAAAGCCCCTTTCCCTAGAATTAAATTTTTGATGAAATACTTATTAATTAGTAGATTTCTGTTGAAAGGGAAATAACTCATTTTTTAAAAGATAAAAATGACATTTTGGATTTTTTTCCTTTTCTTTGGTAAATTGTTTGAAGAATTTAGTGGTAGGTTTGTTTGTCATTCTTGAAGATATTGATTTGATAATTAGTATATAGTTTTATCATGACAAGTTACAGATCAAGTTGGAATTTTGTTCCAGTCTGATAATTTTGTGCAGAGTTATGGTCTGTGGACATAGAAAATTCACTTAAATAATCAGTTTTCAACAGTTTTTTCGTCATGCTTGAAGATTTTGACTTGATATTTTTATGTAGTTTACACCATGACAAGTTATAGATCAAGTTAGAATTTCGTTCCATTAGAACGAATTTGTAACCGGTAGGGGACTATGTATTGCCATGCAATACTCACAGAATGCTTGTTATATTGAACACCTGTCAAAAGTTGACATGATTAAACACCCATACTTAATCCCTAATTTCATTTTAAGCTCTCTCAAGAAGGATGTCACACCAGTATTTTGAATATTCAATAATGAATGAAAAAAACGTTATTAAAAAAATTACGAATAAAAAAACGTCTTGAATATATACAATAAAGAAGAAAGAAAAAAAAACGATATTAATAAAAAGAAAAAAAAAAGAAAAAACCATCTATAGTTGTATATAATATGCACCCCTTCTACCAACTACATTTTTGGGGTAAAAATGTGCGTACTATACACGACTAAATATGGTTTATGAAGTAAAATAGTATCAAAACAACTATATGAAGTAAAATAGTATCAAAACAACTATATGATGTAAAATAGTATCAAAACAACTATATGAAGTAAAATAGTATCAAAACAACTATATGATGTAAAATCGTATCAAAACAGCTATATGAAGTAAAATAGTATCAAAACAACTGTAAAATAGTATCAGATATTAAAATGGCTTCAAATTTATTGTTTTGTTGTTCAGGTATTTTTGTATAGAAATTGTTAAAAGAGCTTTTTTAACTATTTACACCACTACCTGTACTAAATGTACTTTCAATACATGTGCAATTAGTATAATTTTGCTAAGTATTGATATATTTTAAATCTAAAAAAAACTCCTGAAAAAACATGTGCTAAAGTCTTTAAGAATCAATGAAAGAATTATTTTCAAGGAATTTTATGTTTAATATTTAGATATATGTTTTTATGATTAGAACAGAAGATATCTAGAAATTTAGAACATTTTAGGTAGACATTATTCAGACCAATTAATTTCAGGGAATAAAAAGACAAATGGGTACTCTCTTGTTTTCTTGCTATTCACAAAACAAAGTAAATGTGATAAATTCAATAATATCCAGTCTGATTATCTCCCCTTAATTGGCTGTGTGTATATATATATATATATATATACATACTAGGCGGTGTTGTCTTAGAAGTATGAAGTGAAAAGTACAGGTTCCAGCCCCGGTCGGGGAGGCAGTAAAGAATCAAATCTACTCTTCACATTGTTAGGTTGATTTTCTAGGCACTTTATATATATATAAAGATATATACAGATATATATAATATATATGTGCCAAAAATTTCACCCATGATAAAACACAGATTCTTTGATCCATAAATAATACAGAAATACTAATACATGTATATTTTTTTTTATTTCTTTACAAAAAGAATGAAATGTTTCAGTCATGTGAATTTCTCAAGCAAAAGGATAAGTTCTAACGTTTGTATGAAAATGAACATAATTAACTGTTACTTAACTCAATCTATTGCAACTTATTATTGTTTCATTGAATCAAACTGTTAAGCTAGTTTGAAATTGTACCAAACTTCTCTAGGAGAGCTGTAGTCATGTCACCAATGTTAGCAGTGCAAGTACAAAAAGAAAACATCCTTACAATCCTGCCATGATTGATACAGGCTGACAAAAAGTATATATTTTGGAAGTATAGTTAAAACTTATCATTTCAACTTGCAAAATTATAAAGAAGATTAATATTTATACAACAAACAACAAAGCAATAGTTTGAGATACAATATTATGACATCTAAATGATAATCTACATTTCAGGTATGTTCCGAGTCTTTCTTTTACCCTGTGCCACATTAAATGACAGTGGAGAATGTATATTATATGTGACTTCTGATTGTGTATATATTTATGATAACGAACAGAAAAGTAGACAAATAACTGCATGTGATATCACTCATATACGAAGATATGGCGCTGATGGTAAAAGGAAGCAATTTCTTATAGAAGCTGGCAGGTAAATACTATATTTTAGAACACTGAATGATTACTTTGGGTTGAAACTATACACCATATTTATAGGGTGTAGAAAATACTGATCAAGAAAAATGTAAAATTTCCTGATCTGCTAGCTATAGGCAAAACAATTTCCTCCTCTAGACTGTTGTATGTTAATAAAAATTTTAAAAAAATACGCTAACTTTACTTGATAAATGAACAGGATAACTGCCTGTCCAGTTAAAATCAGAAATATCATTTGTGATGTCAAAACCGACATATTTGATAAAAAATGGTTATCTTACATATATTTTTTGTTATTTATGTTTTATAAAACACCATTACCCCAATATACATTGGACCAACATCAATACCTGCTTACAACACAATTATCCTGGTTAATAGTGGTCATATCTTAATCTAAATTTTGATCTTTGATAATTTCTGTTTAATTTATTCACAATTTTTTTAGACTCCAGACTGTTTAGAACTTTACCATGTTGATATGTTGTATAGATACCTGTCAATTGTTGAAGATTGTAAGTTGCCCTTGATGTTGTCATTTCTGTTGTTTTGTTGTTGTCTCATTGATGTATACCCAACATCTCTTTACATGGTCTAGCCTGCAACATTATGCCACAGAAGAGACACATAACAATCCTTCATTCTGTCGGGGTTGGTGTCAGTCACCATTAAGGTTCTGTCTAGCTGTGATTAAAGTTTTTGTTGACATCAGTAATTTGTCATACCTTCATGAAATTTCATGAAAGTTGGACTGAAGCTATATTATTATCAAAAGACAGTATCCAGAGTAAAATTTTGAATTTCTTAATTTTTTGGTATTTTACTGATGAATGGACTTAGTATATTTAGCAGTTAACATTTAGATACAGTCTAATGTTAAAGTTTTTAGACATCAATAACTTTTTCAAGCATAGAGTTTTATGAAACTTTAGCAGAAGCTTTTTATGCCCCGGCCGTAGCGGAGGGGGCATTAAGTTTTACCCTTGTCCGTCTGTACATAGGTACTTGAGTACATACGTCCCAAAATTGGTTTCCTTTCTCTAACTTTAGTTTGCCTCAACCAAATGTTATGAAACTTATACACATTGCTTATAACCACAAAACACAGATCAAGATTGAATTTTGGTGGCGTCACTTTTACCGTTCTAGAGTTATGCCCTTTACAAATGGAAAAATTGCTGAATTTTTCGTTTCCGTTCTCTAACTTTAGTTGCCTCAACCAAATGTTATGAAACTTATACACAATGCTTATTACCACAAAACACAGGTCATGTTTGAATTTTGGTGGCGTCACTTGTACTGTTCTAGAGTTATGCTCCTTTACAAATTGAAAAATTGCTGAACTTTTCGTTTCCGTTCCCTTACTTTAGTTTGCCTAACCTAATGTTATGAAACCTATGCACAATGCTTATTACCACAAAACTCAGATCAAGTACGAATTTGGGTAGCGTCACTTTTACCTTTTCTAAGTTATGTCCCTTTATAGCGTTATATGCAAGCGGGGGTATTATCTTTGTCCCATGGACACATTCCCCATTTATTGTTTTATACCTCTAAAACTTAAACAATAAGAAAAAAAAATGACATAGTTTAAAATAATCAGCAGGTATGAGCCCATATCCCCTGTGAAGATCCTAACTAACACACAATAATATCCCCAGCCATTGTTCATCACTGTATCTTAGGCTATAATTTTGAAAACTATAAAAGACAGAGTGAAACAGCAAATATAGTCAGCAAGACAAGATCAAACATAGTTTTAATACTTTATTGATTGAATGTTACATACCAATATCATACCTGTCAACCTATGACAATGAAAATGCAGGTGATGACCTTCATAAAAGAATGAAATCTCAGGTCATAACGCGTACGAAATTTTTCAAGCTGAATATCAGTATTTAGGGGACATTTTTCTTATAATTTATATCAAAGTTTCCAAAACATGCCCACATGGTTAAGTAATTTAAAATTGTACATTTTATTATTTCATTGCACTTGGAGGTTATTGATAGATTTGTGTTACATTGCCTTTATTCCTGTTCATATTCAGTCTGTGGCATACAATGTGCCACTTTGTGTTTTTTTTTGCATACATTTGTGCAGCTTTTAAGCAGTGAAACATTTAAGAGGTTGATATTAGAGTATAATAAAATAAAGTTAAACAATTAAAGGAGGTATAGATGAAAAAAGTAATTTTCAAATTTTTTTTTTTAATTGTTCTAAGGTAAAACAATAAGTAAAAGTATTATTCTGATATGTTTTTGCGTTCAATTCATTTTAGATTTAATCTTTTTACAAAAAAAACTCATAAGTTTAAGGAGTATATTGTGAATTGACAAAAAAGGGGAAGTAACTCAAGTTGTTTTTAAAACAACTTTGAAATACACAAATTATTTACGACCTAAAGCTAAGGTAATTGGTGTTAATTAACAGTGTGTTTGACACCAAAGCTGTCAAGTGAAGCCATGCACTGAAATGGGTCACTTGAGCTGAGTTTACACAGCTAGTTGAACTTCTTGTCCAGGAAGAATTACGAATTTGCCGGTATTTTAAAGAAATCAGTTTATATCTAATCAGTCTCAAGGCTTAGGAATCCGGGTGAAAACGGATTATTTTCCGAATTCCCAGGTTATTTGGTCACCCAGTGGGTGTTCTGGGTGACCCCTCAGAATTGTGAAAATCTCGAGTCCAGGATCCGGGTCAGTTGACAGGTATGCAATATGTCACATTGATAATATGTTTGATGCTAATTTATTGAAGTTTTCTCTTACAGTAAGAATCCTACTGGAGAAGGAATCTATTTATTCAGAACAGTTTTTCACCAAGAAATTCATGATCAAATAGAAGATGCTGCTGAAAGAATAAAGAAAAAGTCTTCAGGACGACAAAGAACTGTTCCTAGTATTCCTGCAAGTATGTCTATATATATCGCCAGCATTTAACTGTGATAGATCTCTGGCAATGGTTGCTACATGAGGTTTTTTATATGCCCCAGCCGTAGCAGAGGGGCATTAAGTGTGACCCTTGTCCGTCATGTCTGTACGTCCCCAAAATTGGTTTCTGTTCTCTAACTTTAGTTTGCCTCAACCAAATGTTATAAAACTTATACACAATGCTTATTACCACAAAACACGGATCAAGTTCGAAATTGGGTGGCGTCATTTTTAACTCTCATAAGTTATACCCCTTTATAAACAGAAAAATTGCTGATTTTTTTGTTTCCATTCTCTAACTTTAGTTTGCCTCAACCAAATGTTATGAAACTTATACACAATGCTTACTACCAAAAAACCCAGATCAAGTTTGAAATTGGGTGGCGTCACTTTTACTGTTCTTGAGTTATGCTCCTTTATAAATGGAAAAATTGCTAAATCTGTCGTTTCTGTTCTCTAACTTTAGTTTGCCTCAACCAAATGTTATGAAACGTGGAAGTTGACTCATGCATATTTACAAGAGGGGGCATCTGTGGCCCATAGACACTTTCTTCATTTATTTACAGGTTAAGTTAATACTTTTTTTTTGAGAGACTCTATGATGAATGGAAATATTATCATTCAAATGAAGAAAAAAAACCTCTTGTTTTTAAAGACAAGAATACCTCTCCTGCTTGGAGTATATTTTAGAGTACATAGATTTCAAAAATTGGTTCCATTTCATGGCATTCGTTTAGTTCTCCCTTCAACAAATGATTGACAATTGGCAACATGGCAAACTTTGGCAAAGCCTAGTGCAATAGTGCAATCCTGCAAATGATTGCAATTATTTGTGAATTTTATCAAAATATATGTCTATGTTTTTCAATACTGTAAATTCAGAAGTTATTGCGAGGTTTTTATTATTGCAAATGGGTGAGTATCGCAATAATAAGAACTCCCATTCTGATATCTGATACATATATCTGTTTGCAGATTTTCTTGAAATCGCAATAATTAATCTCGCATTTTTGCCTTTTCTTCAATAATCGCAATAATAAATGCACTCAATAATTTCTGAACTTACAGTAGTATATTCTTGGCTGAGCCTCTAGTTGATATATATTTTTTTTTATTTCAGAGCAGCCCATTTATGTGAACCAGAAACCTTAAAGATGCATCTGATAATTGATCAAACCCTTGTAGGCCTTCACAGACATTCCTGTTGGAATTTGCTCAAGATATTGAAGTGGCGATTTTGTTGTTAGGACTATTTCACTATATGGGATAGCCCTTAGTCATGTTTACATTTTGTTGTTAGGACTATTTCACTATATGGGATAGCCCTTAGTCATGTTTACAAGCATTTTTGAAAGTATATTTTTATATTATAAAAAAATGGTGTAATCTGTGCTTTAGCACAATCAGTGGGACTTCTTTGATTTTTCATGTTTTTATGTAAATCTGTTGTATGCAAAGGCTTATATTTGTACTGGAACTCAGGGTCCTTGTTCAAACTATTCTCATATTTGTTACAGTAGAATGTTCTAATGTAGTAGAATGTTCTAATGTTGTGGTTATTATTTATTATATTTTTGATACAACATAAAATTTGAATGACATAACTTTTTTTGGGAAAAGATTGAAGTTATGCAATCAAAACCCTTTTGTTGATGGCTTGATAGTTATCAATTTTCCAAACTGTATCACTGCTTTAGAGATAAAAAAAAACATAGTGTATTTAGCACAACGTTCTATGCATAGTATTCAGCAACATTTCAAGAAATTATCAATTAGATATATACTCAGATATTCAAGTTACAAAATTATGTCTATGTGTATAACTGTACTCATCAAGAGTTTCATAAATTTTGCACGATGTATGAATTTAGTATCTGTTCTAAAAATATCAATGATGTCATTGTTAAAGTAATATTCACAAAATTTGGGTTATCTTCCTTTGTCCATAATTGCAGTCGAACCAACTACAACAATGGACTCCAATTCATAGTATTACCTTTCAATGCTTAATACAATGGAATATTTAATTTTTAGTTTGCACCGCAAAATTAAAGCAATCTTTACCCTTCAATGCTCACAAGCACTTTAATTATGTTTATTTTTGAAAATGTGTGTATTGTAGTGTGTAAAGTTCAGTTACATTTTCTCTGACAATCTTCATTAACAAATTCGTAATTAGTAAAAATCATTCAAGATATAGCCAACAGTGCTGAAATTAGCCTTAAACACTAAGATTTAATCAATCAATCAATCAGAAAATGGTTAATGCTACCTTCTATAAAAGTAAAGGCTGCTTTGTGTCCAATGGTCAATACTATAGAGTCATTGTCATGTTAAGTTTTATACTAACAACAACCAAGATAAAAATAGTCTTATATAACACATTCCTTAACTCCGGCAAACAGGATTTTTCATTCATTTAGTTTATTGTATCATGGGGTAAAATAAAGTCCGTAATAAAACTGAAAATGTAACATAAAAAATGAAAGGTTTTCCATATTTATCATTAAAAAATGCTATATACCTGAAGTAATTGGGACACTTTTAAATACAAGTACAGTACCTGTCAATGGAGTTACAATAGGTTATATAAATGACTAATCATATACCACTGATGTTTTTTTTATGAGATATATGCATGCTTTTTTTATCTAAGAATATATATCAGCTGTGTAAATTTTACTTTTTTTTTCAAGAAGTATTGCCAATTTATCAAAGCAATTTTCCATATGTAAAAATGTTTTGACAGGAAAAATATTACCTGCTAATATATTTATATATTTTATCACTTCTAGTTCATTGTAAAGGAGTAGGTCCAGTAAGACCACTTTTTGGCCCCAAAATATAGCAGTTTTACAAAATTGTTAAAATGTAAATTTTCAGCTATTTATTGGAAAGAAGAATACTTCTGTTACATAAATATGGGCTGTTTTTGACAATACAATGCACATGTATCGGGTACTAGCATCATTAACTCATGCTAAATTACTGAAATCTTCAAAATTATAGCATTTTGGTTAATTTTTAGACAGTTTCCGTCTTAAATGGAAGTGGCCGCATTTGTGTTCATTCTTAATATTTAAATGTCAGTTGTATTTGATGATAATACATAACATATATAAAGGTTGAGAATGAACACGGATGCGGCCACTTTCATTTTTGACAAAAACCATCTCAAAAGTGACATATTATGGCATATTTGATAGATTTTTCATAGTTAAGCTTGAATTTGAGCGTCTTTAATGACTAAATCAGTTCAAATCTTTCACATAAACTAATTGAATCGACTGAAGAAGACACTTAAGTGTTTAAAAAGTGTCCAGAATCTTTCATCAGATGAACCTGAATTTTGAGGCCAAAATCGGCCCTTACCGGACCTACTCCTTTTGTATAATTAGTGAGCAATAGCTGATAGTACATCTTGTTACTTCTTTATGGATCTTGGGAGGAATCATAATGCAAATACTGCAAAATTATAGAAATACACAAATTTTACACTCCAAAAAAAACCCAGTATGGTACAGTTTTTATATCAGTGTCTCAACGTTGTTTCAAGGGGATACATGTGACAAGTTTTAACAAAGTCATAGTGACTGGGGTGGGGGGGGGTCAAATAGCTGCCAATCAAAAGAAGAATGATTTGATGGTTGTTGTGTCTCCTCTTTTAGTATGTTGTTAAACAGTATGTTAATATGCATAATATTTATAAGAGATTTCACATGTTCAGATCTATTTATGTCTGAGGTTCTGTCATATGATGAATTATTTTGAAATTTTTGTTGGTATATCTTGGTTCGATAATGTTAAATAATGTTAGTGATTCCTAATTGGGCATTAGTAATACATTTCAATTATATAGGGTTAGTTGTAATAAAAATAATTAAATTCAAATGTATAAATTGCTCTATCATCAGAAAGTAAGTACAATGTAGTTTTCTAAATGTTCCAAGTTTCCAGTCTCGTCATGGCTATAACTAAGTCCTGAATTCAGGATAAGATGATGGGATGTAACAACACATTTATTGTTAAGTCTTGCATGTTTTATTTTAATCTTCAGAGACGTGTTCATATTGAATTAATGTTGAAAGCATTTATGAAATACTATTATTGCTATTGTATTTATTCAATAGGACAGGTGAACTTGCAAAAGTTTAAATACCTGGTCAAGATAGAGATGGCACTGTGAAAAACTTTCATTGGGTTCGCAATAAGAGTGCATGAAAAGGAAATATTGTCATCCACTGTGTTATATTTAAGTGAAGAGATTTCTTTTTAAGATTTTAAGAGAAGGGACCAAAAACTTCTCTTCTAATTTAAAAGATAGATACATGTAAACTGTTGTTTTAAGCTTAGTTTGGGGTTTTACAGTAACTATAGTATATTGTAAATTCAGAAATGAATGCATGTTTATTATTGCAGATCACTGATACTGGTTACAATGCAATATCTAATTGAAGTTTTTAATTGGATGAACTAATTAGTTAAAAAGAGGAGTTTCTATGTTTGTAAAGCCCTAATTTCATTTGCTGTTTTGGTTTGCAATCATATATTTGCATTGTACTTTTTGTTTACAAGTCTTCCTAAAGATTTACAAACACTATGCAACATTGTAGGTGATTTTATTTATTATTTTGCTTGCTTGCATGATACAGATAAAGCTATTCATATTTTAGTAGCAATCAGTACTGCTAATCATTAATATAGAAAAGTTGAGTGATACAGGCCTCTTTGAGCCTTTATTTTTTAATTTTAATAAATAGTTTTGGTTTTTTTTCTTGGTTTATTAATAACGCATGGATTTATTTATTTATCAGTTCTTAAATCAATAGATAAGTCTATATGCATATAACACAACACATCTCATCAGTTTTATTGAATTATACTTTTCACATACACAGCTACTGTGAATTGACAGTGTTTCTGTAGGCATATTCATTCTCTCATTTGGCATAAAATTAAATGTTTGACACAAAAATATAGAGAAAAATCTCCCTTTTTTCCTCTCACTATATATCTGTCAGTCAGTTGTTTTTGTGATCTTTTACTTTAGCTTTGTTTTAATAAAAAGGCTGCAGAAAGTAGATTGCATAAGGAACATGTCCGTCCATATGGTCTTTATTATATCAATATATAAATTTCTTTCCATCAGTAAATTTTCTATTTCTTCATAAGGTGAACATTGATCGTAACAACTTAGTTTTGTGACAGAAAAAAAACAAATGTACTGCCATAAGAGTGTAAAAATTATGTATCACAGTGCTACTATAAATAACCAGTTCTTATCTTTGGAATAGCCTTGCTGTGTCATAGACATTTACCCTACATTCTTTATTCATGTTAATAACATTATTTATAGAATAAATAATCTGAGAATTCCAATATCGAAAAAAATATTCAACTAGTGACAGAACAAAATATTACTTCAGGAATATGCATAGTGCATGAGTTAATTATCAGTGTTGTTTGGTTATAATTTGAATATTTTCAAAGTATGCAATCTTGGATTAGTTTTTCATTTTATTACATTGACTTTTACCAGAAATAAGGTGGAAAATTCAAGGAAATATAACTCTTTTACACATTCTTACTTTGTTTTGATGCAACTTCATTGACAATGTCTTGACAACAGCCATTGTTGTATGATGTCAGAATAGTGAAATTATTGGTTTTTATTTTGTAATTTCAATGTAATAAATGTGGGTACATATAAGTCTGTAAGTACATTTGTATTTGTACAAAGTTGGCAATTTCATTTAATGAACTGATGGGTGTTTAACATCAAGTGGGTAAACTTTGAACTAAATGCAGGTCTAGAACATGTAGATGTGATAAAAATATCAGTCCTTTATTGTACAAGACACACATACTCAAGAAAGATTTGGAGCAAACAAGGTAACAGTTTGCAGGAAGACATGTCAGGAAGACATGTCACCCTACATGTTCACTTTATTCTGATTACAGATGACCAGTCTGCATTTTTGATAGATAAGAAGAATTTTGTATTTGTTTTATAGTATTTGGTTGACCTGACATGGGATTACACTGGTGACCTCTAGAGATATAATATGTGGTTGACCTGACATGGGATTACACTGGTGACCTCTAGAGATATAATATGTGGTTGACCTGACATGGGATTACACTGGTGACCTCTAGAGATATAATATGTGGTTGACCTGACATGGGATTACACTGGTGACCTCTAGAGATATAATACGTGGTTGACCTGACATGGGATTACACTGGTGACCTCTAGAGAGACCACCAAAGTAGTTTACTTTGTCCACCTTTACCTTTGTTACGCACTGACTTATTTTTGAAACTTTTTGCATGCAACACTAAGAATATTATAGTTAAGAAATTTTTTTTGTGTTATGGAATCTTCATAAAAGGATGATCATATTAATTAGAATTCAATAATATATTACATAAATGGCCTTGCTAGAATTCATGTAAAACAATTCATTGACCTTTAGTATTGTATCTTTATTTCTTTGCTTCTTTTTTTAAATTATTGAGATTTTCAAGATACTGTAAATTCAGAATTTTTTAGATGTTTTTAGAGATTTAGCAAAAATTAAAAACCCACATTCCTATTTTGAAAGCATTATTTGTATGAAGAATTTCTAGAAATTGCAATAATAAATCTCACTTTTTTGTCATTTGTTTATCAATTGCAATGATAAATTTACTTTAATAAAAAATTTCTGAATTTACAGTAGTTACCTTGGTGACCAATGAAATTATACGCTATTATTTAAAGTTATTAATCATGTTATATATTCTTTTTGAAATAAATTTATTCATAAAGTTTTCGTTGTTAAAATTCTTGTGGCTTATTCCTATTAGATGATGGTCATTCAGGAAGTGATCAGAATGCCTATGGTTTTAGTCTCGCCTGCGACAAAAGTTGTGGAAAGCGAGACATAGGGATTGATGACATCAACAATTGTATGAAGTTACATTACTATCTATACATATCAGTTTGACAACTATTTTGAGGCCCTGCCCCCTAGGACATGGTCCAGTGACTTTGAATTAATTATCAATTTTTAATGTTAAGTTTTCTGTCCAAGTTAGATTGATAGGAACTACTTGCAATAGAGAAGAATATTTTCTATAAAGTTACATTACTGTCTGTACATCTCAGTTTGTATACCATTTTCTGGCCCTGCCCACTAGATCATGGTGCATTGACTGAATTTATAAGCAATGTTGCTGTCCAGAACTCTAATTATAATGGAAGTGCAGGATTTTTACCTCTTAAATTTCACTGCCAAATTTCAATCCCAGTCGGCTCTTTGTGGTTCCTTTTGTGTTCTCTGAGAAAATTCTTGAAATGTCATGATGGCCATTTAAAAGATCAATAAATAATAGAAGATGTGATATGATTGCCTACTATCCATCCAAGACTAAAGAGAAAAAGTACAAAGATGTAAACAACAAGAAATGATTGTAACAGGATGCTGTTACGAAGTCTCCCAAACGAAGCTCCCATAATTCGTAATTCCCAGGGTCGCCTGACATTGGGCAAAGTCCAGTGAAAATTGGTTTGGTCCAGTAAAGTTATTTGCATTAGTGATGCCTAAGGACTAACCCTGTATATCATTCATATCATCTTGGCATGACAAACCAGAATATATATGGTTTAGGGGTGGGGATCTCGACCATTTACAAGATATTAGAACTTTCTCAAATGGCAGGGGGTTGGGATAACCCCTGGGGACTAACCCTGTATATCATTCAAACCATCTTAGCATGACAAACCAGAATATATATGGTTTAGGGGTGGGGATCTTGACCACTTACAAGATATTAGAACTTTCTTTAATGGCATGGGGTGGGGGTGACCCCTGGGGACTTACCCTGTATTTCATTTCATGTGCTTAATCATGACAAACCAGAATATATATGGTTTAAGAGTGGGGATCTCGACCATTTACAATATATTAGAACTTTCTCAAATGGCAGGGGTAGGGATGACCCCTTGGGACTAACCCTGTATATCATTCAAACCATCTTAGCATGACAAACCAGAATATATATGGTTTAGGGGTGGGGATCTTGACCACTTACAAGATATTATAACTTTCTTACATGGCATAGGGTGGGGGTGACCCCTGGGGACTAACCCTGTATTTCATTTGATTTGCTTTATCATGACAAACCATAATATATATGGTTTAGGGGTGGGGATCTCGACCATTTACAATATATTAGAACTTTCTCAAATGGCAGGGGGTCGGGATGACCCCTGGGGACTAATCTGTATATCACTCAAACCATCTTAGCATGACAAACCAGAATATATATGGTTTAGGGGTGGGGATCTTGACCACTTACAAGATATTAGAACTTTCTTAAATGGCATGGGGTGGGGGTGACCCCTGGGGACTAACCCTGTATTTCATTTCATGTGCTTTATCATGACAAACCAGAATATATATGGTTTAGGGGTGGGGATCTCAACCATTTACAAGATATTAGAACTTTCTCAAATGGCAGGGGGTCGGGATGACCCCTGGGGTCTAACCCTGTATATCATTCAAACCATCTTAGCATGACAAACCAGAATATATATGGTTTAGGGGTGGGTATCTCGACCATTTACAAGATATTAGAACTTTCTCAAATGGCAGGGGGTCAGGATGACCCCTGGGGACTAACCCTGTATATCATTCAAACCATCTTAGCATGACAAACCATAATATATATGGTTTAGGGGTGGGGATCTTGACCACTTACAAGGTATTAGAACTTTCTTAAATGGCAGGGGGTGGGGATGACCCCTGGGGACTAACCCTGTATTTCATTTAATGGGTTTTGTCATTTAGAACATTTTCAATTAAAAAGATTGTGTCTATCACAAACGGTTTTCAATTTATAATCATTTGAAAATTTTAAAAAATAAAATCCCATAGGGTTCTATAGTAAAACCCTCTTTTCTTTTTGCCCCTCAAAGTACCCCTTTATAAACCCCATTGCACAAACAAAACCCTGATTGCACCACTAGACATGTTAGTCTAACATATTGTGAAACCCTAAGTTAATCTGACAAGCGGTTTTGGAGAATGGGTGTGGACAAGTTCAGATTTAAAAGCGGCG